CAAAATCTGTTACACATAAGAGTCTGAGCCAATGATATAAAGAGAGCTACTGGTCAGCGTTCTCATTGGTTTTGCGTCGGTCACTTTGATGCCAAAAGTACATCAGTATCAGTATAAGGTTTTGTAGCCAATGCTTCTCAACTTACATCTTTAGCAAATAAAAAGACGCTGATTAATATCAGTGAGGCCGCAATATGCCGTGAATATTGTTCAGAGGATTCTTTGGTGCAACAGCTGTCACTCTCACATCTCAATGTTAGCGCAGTTAAACGATTGCATAAGAGCCTTATTACATTTAGGACCGAACGTTATTACATTTAGGGCTTTATTACATTTAGGACCAAATGTTATTACATTTAGGAATTTATTACATTTAGGACAGTTATTACATTTAGGACTTCAACAATCGCCACTTAGTATGTATTTTTAGTTGGCATTTCGTGAATGACTGGATGTGCTTACCATCCCTCACGGCGCCGCAAGTTGACCTTAGCTTAACGTATGAGAACGGCGTTGAGTTCCAAATGGAAACTTAGGTCACTCGCCCTCGGGATTTTTTTTCTCAGACCACGCAAATTTTCATGATTTCATGTTGTTATTTTGCGGAGGACGGTTGAAATCCAACATTCAATGCATCAATTTGACGAGCTACACAACACAGTAAGTTGCGATTCCTGAGTGTAATTCCATGATACCACGTTCACCGTATAATCGCCCTCGTGATATTACGCTAATTCAGCTTGATTTCTGGTTTTGTGCGCTTGCCTTTTCATGTTTTTGTCTGAGCAAGTACTAGAGATCACCTACCATAGAGCCCAGATGCAACTCCAAAGTGATTGCTATAGGACCTCGGTATGGGAGAGATGTGTGAGATTGGATGCGTTTACCGGCATAACTGATAGCCTGATCTCAGTTTTATGACGCAACCTGAGTTGTCTCCTTTCTTGCGAGTAAAGTTTTGTAACTTTCTGACTGAGATTACCTTAATTGGCTCGAGGAATAATACTTCTGTCGTTCATTTTTGGTTAACCCTTTAACTCCCAATATCTGATTGTTAGTTCTCCCCTCTAGCTCCGACACAATTCCTCGTAAATTAGTTGCTAGAATTTGGTGAAAGATCAAGATATCAACTTCTACCTAATAAGTTTGAAAACTTTCATTAACTGTTTGCTGGAAATAATGTGCAAACTATAGGGAGAAGTTACATGTGAGTCACTTCTGGGAGTTAAAGGGTTAAATTGTTCTACCGGAAGCCAAGAAAACTCATAAAAGATTTTTACTTTATCGTTTTGATACCTTGTTTTTTCCTCAAAATAGAAAAATTATGTGAATTCAGCCGCTGTCTTTGAATACCTTGTTTATCGTCGGGGCAAGAACTGGAGTTTAGCTGCCATACAGGTCACTGACTTCAAAACGACTGGAGAAGGGCTGTAGAATCGGAATAAAAACATTGCACTGGATATGTCTACTGACACAATTGACAAGCTGATGTTAATTTTATGACTCAAGCTGTTTTTTTACCTTTCTTCAAAGAAAATTGTATCAGTTTTTAGATTGAAATTGTTTTGATTGGTTTGACGATACTGTAGTAGACACTTTTGAGTAAATTTTAGGACCAAAGCGAAAAAAGTATAAAAAAAATAGTAACGTCATAAAGGTTTCCTAATATTTTTTAAGAGGAAACCTATGTATTATTAAAGCTTTGTAAAAGAGGATGAAAACTTATCATAGCTATAGTATACAAGAAAATGAAAGTTCTCATAAGATTAGATTGACCAGACGGTAAATTTAACGATTGCGAGTTGAGTCGAAGGCCGCATAAAATAAGTGAAACAGCTATAAACACGTACCTATGGGTCTTTGCGGTGTTTAGGCTATTTAAGGCTATCGTACAGGGGTAAAATCACTTTTTAGAGCCTGGTTTTAGGGCGGCTAACTTCGCAAAGGTGATAAAAGATAAAAAACTCAACGGGAAAATTTTAAGAGAGCTTGAAATGGCTTCTGAGATCTCTTGCCAGTTTGAATGTTTTTCTAAAGACCGATGTATGTCATACAACTTCTTTTCCATCCATCAAAATGAGACAAGTACATGCCAAAATGCAACTAGGTGATCCGACCGATTTGTTAGTCGAGTTAATTTTACCAAAGAAAATGGAGCACTGTCTAAAGGAATACAGGTTATAATACTGGTTGGTGTTAGTATTAGAGAGCTATGAGGCGTTGAATTGAATTTAATCGAGTGGGAGGGCTGGAGAGTGAAAATATTTAACTCGGGGTCATAATGTAAAGACTGAGCGCAGCGAGCTCCTTGAGTCTTCGGCACGAGCCGAATATATTCCAGTATGGCCCTATCAGTCAATGAGCACTTTCACACATGACCACTACTTCTCTAAACTTTGGAAAATTTTGTTTCAGCTTAAATTGGACCCAAAAGACAAGTGCACGCGATACAACCACAAGAAAGATCCGTCAGAGAGAGTCAAAGAGTCAGAACAAGAAAATCAGAATTCCTCGAAAAAGGGGTCCTATCTTCTCACTTCTTTATTTCCCCCGAGTACAAGTCCACAGTTAGAAGCTTTCTTTGTGATTGCGCACGGGGTGTCAGGCGAGTCATATATTCCTACTTTTGAGCGTGCAGGCCTAAAGGTTATGACGCCATTAATTTTTATTTTCATTACAGACAATAACGTTGATACTCTCAGTGACTTATATCCTCAGGTGTTTAGTTCATAAATTGCCCCAAAAACACTATTATCAAGATGATTCCTCAACTGACGGTGTGTACTGGGTTTACCCTGATAAAGAAGAACCATTTCAAGTGCTGTGTGACATGACAACTGATGGTGGAGGATGGACCAACTTTCAAAGGCGCATGGATGGCTCTGTAGACTTTTATGTCGACTAGGATTCATGCAAAAAGGCTTCGGAAATCTGGAGGGTGAGTTTCGGCTAGGGAACGATTATCGTCACCGTCTAACTGCATCTGCCAACACGATGGTTCGCACGGATATGGAGGATTATGAAGGCGACCAACGATTTGCTGAGTACACGACTTCCTCTGCGACCGACGACGGTGATAATTATCGAGTGACGATCGACGTATACCGAGGCACTGAAAGGGAATCATTGCAATTTCACTCTCAGCCCATCAGGTATGATTTGGTCATTGTATTTTCCGGTGCTTACCTGAATAAATACAGATGTTGGGAAACCTCTGAAGTGTACCTACCTAAAAATGCGCCAAAGAAGTTTTATTTATGATCGAGCCATACAGCTATAAGTATAGTGGTGAACTTGCTATCCCCTGTTGGTTTGCAATGAGAGAGGGGAAGCTAACTGTAAATTGCAGAATGGCATCTCACTCAACGATAGGCACCGAGGACTCTAGACCTGTCTTTCCCACTTATTTAATCTCTCGGTGCTTTAATAAGTCATTTTACCTACATCAGAATTACTTCTCTCCGTGTAACATGGGTTGCCTGACTATAACTCTGGCAAATCTATGCGAGTTCTATCCGACTCATACTTTTGATTGACCTCTGACTAAACCTTAAATTACTTCCTAATATAGTTGCATTCGAAAGGCATTGATGGGCATTCTAACAATTTTGTGTCAATGCAGTCCTTCTTGGACGTGTGTTGCTTTCAGCAGCATTGCTATCCAGCTTCTCATTTTCTCAAGAAGTTCTTTATTTTGAAATTTAGAAATACGAGGTTTACAACCAGGGACAGGGACAACGACGTCTATGAGGATGCAAATTGTGCAGTGCTATATAAAGGTGGCTGGTGGTATAGTGACTGACATGCCGCTAATCCAAATGATTTGTATTAGGGTGGAGGTTACGCTTAAGGAGTCACATGTGCACCATTTCGAGGACAAGATTATTCTTTAAAGCGCATCGAGATCAAACTTCGACCAGCATGATTTCAAATTTGTAGCCTGTACCTGTAAGATTTTAGCAAATAGTAGTTTACAAGGCTCAGATATCTGTGACCCGTAAACTGATTCTGTTTCTGATATAGCTTTCAAGTTGGTTTGCAACACCTTAGGAGTTCCTGCTTTAAAACGAAAGCGACCAGGATGCTGAAGTAGCACACAAAAAATTAGTATGTATCTAAAATGTAATTTTTCATTCACTTTCAGAGAATCATAATCCTTTGATGCCTCTAAGGATGGTGTTATTAGACAAAACGGAGTTAACAACGCAAAATATTTGACGCCTTTTATTGTGCGCGTGTTGTGAAATACCTTAATCACATTTACATATTGAAACATATTCAACCGTTTATTTTCTCTGCTTGGCTGGTAAAATTTGTAATCTATCTGTGGCAACGATACAAGTACATGGCATAAATGTTTACAGAACTCTTATAGAATTGGTATCGCTCGTGCCAATTCTCTCTCTCGAGTTCCTGTTTTGGCAAAATTAATTATTGAATACAAAAGATTGGCGAACATCACGACACCTTGTCATATAAATACTGAAATTTAATTTTTGTTACTTTTTACATCCTTTTCTCGGCTTATTTGGTAGAATTATGCTAATTCAGCTTGTTTTGTTACCAATTTCAAGTACCTGCCTTTTTTATTTATCTTTCGTGTTAGCTGCTACACAAATGTGATAAGCTGTTTTGTTGTCCCGCGAAAGAAAAATAAAAGACATCAGCTTTCCGAATGAAAATGCTCTGATTGGATTGAGGAATGCTTTTTGTCCATTTTCAATAAATGTTTTCATCAGAAGCCATGAAAATATCCAAATAATCGTGACGATGCAAATGATGATTGCTATTTTAAAGGACGTAAAAGATGGATATTGCATATTGGGAAGTTAGTGATATATATAATTTGCATGTAAATTAAGTCGCAAGAATGGTAACTCTGTTTTTAATTTCGACGAAGCTCATTAATTATGAATAGGAATCCTTGAAATTGCTTAAAAGTTCAGCGCCACCAGTTTGAAAATTCAGCCAAATCAATTTGAGTCGAAGGCAAGATAAAAATGAAACAACTAAACATGTACCTATTGACCTTTTTGATGTTTTCACTTACGGCTATCGCACAAGGTTCAAATCGGTTGTCGGAGCCCGATTTTAAGGCTGCTAATTTCGCAAAGGCGATAGAAGATCGAAAACTCAACGGGAGTGTCTTCAGAGACTTTGAGGTCGCGTCTGAGATCTCTTGTCAGTTTGAATGTATCTCTGAAGAGCGATGTTTATCTTACAACTTCCTTCCCATCCATGGCAAGGAGAGAAGTATATGCCAACTAAGTGACTCGGACCGCTTTATCAGCGGTGTGAATTTTACGAAAGAGGATGGAGCCATTTACAGAGGAATACAGGTGACAATACTTCATTATTTTGATGGACTCTGACCTTCGGAAGGGAAGTTGTGAAAAATAGTTGTTTTGATGAACGTGAATGTCATCCGGCTCGTTTTAAGTGTATTTCCTTCGGTGCAAATTTACTGCTGAGTGTTTAGGAATTCCATACGTGTACTTTCTCTATCTACCTTAATGAATTACTAGTTGATAATGAATGATTGTCTCACCTCTCTGTCGACACATTACAGCTATTTCCGTAAAAACCAACTATGATCTGCCAAAGTTATTGGTGCCTTAAAGCACCTGTCAAAAAAGGCAGGGTTTCTTGTTAAGAAAGAGAACGTTTCACTATAGTGGTCTTTCGAGGACAAAATTTACTGTAATATGAAATCATATAATTTAAATTCTATAGAGACTGTCGTTTGAAAAAATGAAACATTAATTAATGAGACACTCAAATGACTGTAAAGGGAATACAATCCAGTCTTCATTTCCACCTTTGTGAGATTAGTTCGTTCTCAGACTTTTCAAAAATAAAACTGTGTCCCAGCTTTTTCTCTTCTAAGATGTAAGATCGACAAAAGGCAGGAAGTTCTTGGCCCACTTAACAAAAAAGTCCTCCTTCAACTTTAAAATATGAATATATATGTAAGGCAATTTTATTTCCCTACTTTTAGAGCACCTGCGAACAAGATAATCCATGCACAGAGAATGAAATATGTGTGGTTGAATACAGATCAAACACTCACTTTTGTAAGTGTAACAGAGGTAAGGATAGACGTGGTTAGATTTTTGTAGTCTGACAGCTATGAATTTACACAGTTGGAGATGGAATTTCTCTAACAGGGTAAACGGTGAACGGTATAATTGAGATGCTCTCAAGTGATAGGGTGCAGATTCAACTGGGTAATAGGCACTAGACGAAGAGAGTTTACGAAAGGCGAAACAGGCAACTTCGAACTAACAAATAGTTTGATGGCGAGGGAGAACATCAACTCACGTCTACTCTGTTGGAGAGAGAGGAAATCCCCTAAACTGATATGGAATAATAATATTCTGCATGAGGTACGAAATTTGGTGGTTAATTATGACGGAAACAAAAAATGTTAAGATAGGACATTTTCATTAATTTCATGCTTTGGTGGATGCTATAACACCAATATATGATTAGGAAAAAAGCCACTTCAGGTGACTGGTATTTCGGCTAATAATGTCCACGGCCAAGATATTGAGCATGCTGGAACATGCCGGAAAAAACCGGAAAAATGGAGGAAATGCCTGAACATGCCGGAAAACGGGAAATATCTTGTAAAACACTAAAACACCGGAACATGCCGGAACACCGTGGAAAAACTAAAGAAAAAAACTTAAAATTTGATGAAAAAATATAGTTAATGGTTACCTGGCGTTCCAGGTTTTATCACGAGCCGAGATATTTGTCTGAGAAATGAATAATTGATAGATAAGCAAAACTTTGAGGACAATGTCTCAGTCAAGGACATTATCAGCCTACAGACCAACAAGCCAGAAGGGTTCTTATTAATTTATAACCCTTCCAGTAATTCTCGTCAAGCGAGTTGAAAGCAAATTTTGTCGACTTTTTTTGTACTTTTGGAGCAGCATTTCAGATCAGCTTTTTAGTGTCACTATTACTGGACTCCACAAAACGAGTTATTTTTTTCTTCCATGTAAAGTGATAAAGATGAAAAAGTGAAAGTCTTGAAATTAATATTTTTTCCGCTGGCTTTGTTTCTCTCTGATGGAAATAATTTGGGGACAAATACAGACGTAGACGGGGGTTATTGTGTGATAACTGTCCGGTGATTTTACACCACATGACTAAGTATAAAGTGTTTAATTTAATTTAGCGGAAAACGAATAGGTGGGTTATAGAATTCGGTAACTTTATATTCTCTAAGGATTACTCCTTTGGGTTTCTATTCTAAAGATTGTCCCAGGAACTGTCTCGACCATTATCAAAATGGTTCCACTTCCGACGGAATGTATTTGATTTACCCTGATGAAGAACAACCTTTCCAAGTACTGTGTGACATGACAACTAATGGTGGAGGATGGACCACCTTTCAAAGGCGCATGGATGGCTCTGTAGACTTTTATGTTGACTGGGAATCTTACAAAAAAGGCTTTGGAAATATGAAGGGCGAGTTTTGGCTTGGAAATGACTACCTTCACCGTCTCACTGCATCTGCCAACATGGTGTTTCGAATCGATATGGAGGATTACGAAGGCGACCAAAGATTTGCTGAGTACACGACCTTCTTTGTGGCCGACGAAAGCGATGATTACCGGGTGACGATCGATGCATACCGAGGCACCGCAGGTGATGCATTGCTATCTCTCAGTAGGCCTATCAGGTTTGTTTTAGGCATTTCAGTTTTTCGTATAATGCTTAGCGAACAGTGATATAAAGCTAACTAGCTCTGCGCAAGAACCGAGAAAAGTATTCATTACCCGCTGAAGACGAAGATCTCTACACTTGTTTAAGTTAAACATCTCTTTCTGAAAATGTACTGCTACAGGCAACATTGCTGATCAGAAGATCCAACTTATCTGACGCATATTGCTGACAATTAAAGCTCCTTTTGAATTGGTGCTAGTACATTCCTCTACGCTGCATTATTACCATAAAATACGTTTTGTTGATTGCTAACGTTACCATTTGTCTTTCACTTGCCTGATGGGGGAATATTCCTTTTTCTACACCTTGCTGACAATGCAGCCTTATTGCTAACCGTACAATGTTATCAGTAGCATTGTTGTTCAGCTCTTCCACAGTTTCTTACAAAATTCTTTTTTCATATCAGAAATATGAAGTTTACAACCAAGGACAGAGACAACGACGTCGATAACAGTAAGAATTGTGCCCTGTACTATAAAGGCGCCTGGTGGTACAACTATTGCCATAACGCAAATCCAAATGGTTTGTACCAAGGTGGAGGTAACGCACAAGGAATTACATGGGAACCATTTCGGGGACAAGATTATTCGTTAAAGCACATCGAAATCAAACTTCGACCAGCATGATTTGTATCTTAGAAGTTGCGTGTTTAAGCCTTCAGCAGACTATAATGAAAATACAGTGTAATAACAACAAAAATGATAATGATAATAAGAATTACTATAGTAATTGTAATAATTATAATAATTACAGTAATTGTAATAATTATAATAGTTCTAAAAAATTCATTATGATGAAAATGCACATCAAGATGTTCCATTGCAAATAAATAGAAGGTCTGAAAATTAGAAAAAGTATGGGAAAACGAAGACTTCATATTAATGACGAAATCATAATTAAAAGTGAATTTATTAAAACAGCTTTGGTCCTAAACAGGATCTGCTTCTGAGGTGAACGTATCTTTTTATTATCTTTATTATTATTCTTATTAATATTTCTTTTTAAATAAAGCGCACAGATGATTCTTTCACAACTGCGATAGAAAAAAATTAAGTAAATAATCCTCATGTTTTAATCAATTAAGATTAATCTTAAGGTTCGTGAATAACATAATCAACTGATATGTAGCTTTTATTGCAAAACTTTTTCATAAACTTTGCGTGGTTTGGTAAGGTCACAAATACTAGCTGCATCAACTGAAAGGCCAAGAAACATTTTTGAAAGCACAATCGCACGAAAAGATTACCCATTAACTTTAAATGGACTCTTCTTTGCACAAGCTTTTGACCATAATCAAAATATTTTGGCCTCATAGAACTTCACCTTGATATGCAAACTAAACTTGCATTTAATTTCTATCGTAACTCCTTATAAACGGAGACTGCCACACTGCTTGATATTATATTATATGAAGAAAGGTGCTAGTACTTGATTTACCTCAATTTCTTATGTAGGAATAGGGATCAATTTTAATATTTTAAAATCAGGTGAGTTTGAGATAAAGCAAATAAATAACTTGATTAAAAATGATAATAATCGTAAAATGATAATGTGACCTTGAAAAGAGAAAATAGAAGCGCTAGCTTTTCCCTTCATAGCGACATCATTTTATTTCGGTCAAATTTTAATGTAATATCAGGTGGCTTGTAGATGTTTCTTTTCAAGCTAGAATTAAAATCTCGATTCCCGAGATAACACGCGCGCATGCTAAAAACGCCAAACCAATAGAGGATCTTTTTTTCTTCATTCCTTTCCCAGGAAAGCAGGTGCTCCAAACAAGGACAAAACAGACTTCGACAAGTTCTTGATGGGAACAATATACCATATAATGTGATGTAATGCAATCCAAGGTTTTTATAAGTACACACGATAGATCGCAATGAGAGGAATCCCCCCTCTGATTTTTCACATTATCAAATTTCCACTTCGATTCAAAAGGAGGGATATCTGAATTCCATTTTGACACGGACAAATGGCTTAAAATGTGGAATAGTGCTAACAGCTCAAACAACTACGTCGCTTCCGACTACAGCTGCTCTCTTGGTACCCGGTTTATCGCGGGTTACTGTTATTTAAACATTCGCATCCGGGTGATGGCACGATACAGGCGAACTGAAGTTGAAAACTGAGATTTTTTTATTAGGATTTTACTCTCACTATTGGAATAGAAATAAAAATAACGAGAGGGATCATTAACACTTTTGCTGTTTAAAACTGTGTTTGATTGGTCCACTGAGATATTTGTAGATAAAGCAATTGTATCCATGCGATGTCTCAAATCGACTAAAGTTATAAAAACGAGCATGCAAAAAAAAAAAAATGAAACTGCTCACATAGAATAAAAGGGAACCAGTGAAAAGGATGTCCCTTTGGCGGTCAAATAGATCCGGAAAAACTAATACATCGTTTTCCTTGTCTTCTCATTTTATAGAACGGCCGGCTCATTTCCTAAATAGCGTCTGGTAATCGAGCCTTGGGAAATAACACCTGACGGATATTCTAGTAAAGCCTTTATACGGGCCCAAGTGGCCCATGGAGCCGGTGCTTAACTCCGGTTTTCTTAGCATGAAGCGGCTAGGAGTATTGCGACTCCCCACTGGATGGGATGCTAGTTTATCGCAGGGTTACTCCCAGCACGTTTGCTGGTACCCATTTGTATACCTGGGTGAAGAGAAGCACTGTGAGAGTAAAGTGTCTTGCTAAAGAACACAACACAATGACCCCGGCGAGGGCTCGAACCCGGACCACCCAATCCGGAGTCGAGCGCACTAACCCTGAGGCGACCGCGCCTCCTCACATGACGGCATGACGGAAATTTTAACAACTTGATAATTTGATAGATTTTCATCGAACACACCAACACGCCTTCTCAACAAGGTTTTAACTTAATTTTTTGCAAAGTATGGGTTTAAAAAATCATCTTGGATTTGGTCGAAAAACAAAAGAATAATCGCAACCAAAGAAGTCTTGAGGAGGTTAAGAGTAACCTTAAGCAATAATATGAACGTTGGAAAAATATTGTTTAGGAAAAAGCCCAGAATAGGAATTTTCAATCATTTTTTATCAAATTTCATGGTTTCTTTTTTTCGTTCTGGTGTAGTGTACAGTACATTTCGAGTGGATGATGAATTCCAATAAGAAGAGCAATCAAACCACGGTAAAATAAAGAAATAATCAATTAATGGATGAAATAAAATTTCTCTTAGATCACGAATAGCTTGAAAAAAAAAATATAAATGTATAAGACCATAACTTTACAATACGTTTTCTGCTGATAGCTGAATAAATGTTGATGAGCCAACAACAGCGTCAGCTTTCGAAAAGTACATAAATGAAATTACTCACCCCTGAAAAAGGTAAGAAGTTGGAAAGATTTTTTATCAGATGCTTTTCCCCTAAAGTAATGACATTGATACGAGGCCTAAAACATTAAATTTTCACAGTGTTTACCGCTGGTACCCGAATAAATCTTGCTGCACCAACAAAACGTCACAATTCAGTTGTAAATTAATATACAAATACCCAAGAATATCACATGAGAAAATATCATGGATATCTGTGTTAGTAAAGCAAGAGTTAGTAGGCAAACACTACGTTCAACATGAGCAGCAATAAAGTTTTGTGACTTCAGGTAGAACTTCAGTGAAAAAAGACAGAAAAGGAAAAGGAAAGGAATTTGAGAAAATTATGCAAAAGTTCTTTTCCATAACATGAGAAATGAAGGAACACGTCGTTTATTTACTTCTTGATCAGTATAGATTTTCTTAAAACATGGTCTGAAATATAGCTTTTCCTAATAGCCGATCAGGCGTTGATATTTTCATAAAAAAGAGAAAAAGGAGTCACATTCCGCAATTAACGACATCATGTAAGTGAAACCAAGTTATCTGATTAAGTAGCCATGCTTCTTGTCATAATATTTATTTTCGAGCTTTCTGAAATATATGGCAGATTAGTAATTTATATGACTTGACCCCTTTATAAGTTTGAAGAGAGAAGCAATTGCTGTCTGTTCAAAGAATAAAGGGGTTTTACAAATCTGTCGATCTGGGCTACTTTTGTGAAATGAAGCATGAAGCTTACGGCAAACGGGAAGCAGCTACGTGACATTTCGCATGTGCCATTTGCCGGTTACTATTATTCTATGCTCTCATCGATTATATTAAGAGCGCTAAAAAGCCGACTTACCATTTTAATGGTCGAGTCAATTTCACACATTTGTCCACCAAAGGATTCAATTTTAAAAAAGTAAGCCAAGCATGGCAATCGCCATTATCATGTTAACCAAAACTATGACAAAATTCTCGAACGTGATTTGTTATCACCAGCCCGATTTGAGCACTCTTAGGACAGTGTCATGCTTGTTATTGGATAGTGTGATTAGGATAGCTAAAGTTAACACGTCATGCCTGTGTAAGTGGACAGAACGTGTCATGTACGCGCGGTAAAGGTAAAGAATCCGATCCAACCGACGCGTCGACCAACCGGTCGTCAACGTACAAGATACGTCGGTGGTGTGTCGGTGGTGCGTCGGCGACTTTGTTTGGGCCTTATTTATGTAAATCAATGGTAATCCTTCCTTTTCCACACTTATCTGTAACGTCTTCCTTGGAAAACTTTCACTCACGATATGAAAATGAATAATTTTCTTTTGGCCGCGATCTTGTTCGTCGTGTTTTTGGAACCCAGTCCCCACTCAGTTACTTATCCTGACTGAGCATAAGATTAACATTTCCTAAAATTTTCCTTCAGAACACCTTGATATTCTAAACCGACACCCGTCCTCGAGTTTTTACATTTTTATCACCTAAAACACTGCAGTTTTATTACGTTGGACATTGACTTTTTCAAACTTGGTAGCTCTTAAAACGGTTTATAATTTTTTTTTTTATGAAAACGTATAAGTGATGTCAAGTTTGTTTCTCAAATTTTGTCATAGTTTTTATTAATTAGTAACAGGACATCGTGTCGTCCAATTTTTTCCGTAATCATACTAAGGATTAACAAGTCGGACTTCAGCTTCACGGTCGTCCGGTTTTAATTTGTCAATCACTCGTATAATTACAGACTGAATTAGACTCTACTCGCTCATATTCCAAAATTAATGATTTGGGGAAATTCTGATAAAAAAGGTTTTCGGGGAAGGTCTCGGAATTTTTCACAAAACCGCAGGATTTTGAAATTCGAGTTAAGGCCTTGCTACTGAATCACGCAATCGTAAATGAAATAGACTCAAACCGTTCATTGAAACGTTGCTTTCAAGGTCATAATTTGCGTCCTCTGTTGCCCTCCAGTTTCTTTTTTTTCCTTTTTTTTTTGATAGCTCCTGGAATTGAAAGTGGATAACTTTAACACCAAAAATATGTAATTTAAAACATAGGTCATTCAGTAAAGCTTAATATTTTTCGAAAATGGCCGTTCGAAGAATATCATTTAAACTTTCTCAAACATTTCAATTTGCAACGAAGCTTACCAAGAGTATTGATTGTTTTTTTAGTTTTGTTGGAAACGTTTTCAAAACAAGGAAACTGAGTATCAGAAGTAGTGAGCAAACACGGCAAGAAAAAATGCTATGTTTACTGTAATTGATACAAGCATGGGTAACTTAGTAATGTAAAACAGGATAGAATTTATGTTTACAGATGATTTTTTAATTAATCAGGACCATTAAAATTTCCTTAAATTTGATCGCAGGAAGAATTGCCGTATTTTTCAACCAATCTTTTTGCAATGACTCCGGTTTGATTTTCAGGCAAGTGACTAAATTGGACAAGAAAACTAATTAACTATCCAACCTTTACAAGGGAACACTGATAGCAGACATTCTACTCTCCAGAGATTTCTAAGTGAAAGGGGTGTTTTCATGTGGATCCGAAAAGGATACTGTGAGAAAAAAAAAATTAACTAAGAATTTGAAATATATTCTGTATCCTCTTCTACAACAGAGAATCTCTCCTTAATATAAATTGTCCTACTGAAGATCCTGAAAATCATCATGACGGGCGTTCGCTTTAGTTAACTTTGTCGGACTTCTATAAAACTCAGGAAAATGAAGAGATCCGGTAATCGGGTCGTAGTACTGGGAAAAGTACCTGAATGTCTCACAACGATAAGCAGTCCACGCCTTTCTTTTAGGAATTCAAAGATGCCTTAAAGTTTAAACTAGGAGAAGAAATTCTTAACAATTCTCGAGGTCGTACGGGATTAAACTAAGCCTGATTAATTAACCAAATTTTTTTTATCAACTAGTCTTGAAGTTCGCGCGAAAGAAAATACAAATCCGCATGAAGATTATTGAACGATGAGTTGCCTGAACTTTACTTCTGTAATCCAATACATTAAAAAAAATACACAGGTTACAGGACAACCACGCGTGTCTACATCCGAGAGATCTGCTGTGGCTAAGTCACCTTTTTCTAAAGTATTCTAACACAAACATGTTCAAGGCCAAGGCTTTGAACATAAATCGCCAAAACACGATCATATCTTTTTTTCGCCTCCTCATCGTGACCCTGTTCATTGTGTGCGTCACCAATATTTTCATGAGTAATTTCAACTTTAAGATAATCACCTTCAAGCTGTTTCAAGCAAATGTCTAGTGCACTTGCATGTTTAACTTTGCTTCCAAAAAATCACCTAGACCACTATAAACAATACCCAGGTTATTCTAAGAGGCTACAACATCTACATGTTCAGGTCCGAGCTGTTTCAGACGAATGTCCAGTGCACGTGAATGGTTGTCCTTTGCTTGGTGGAAATCACCAAGATCACTGTATACAGTACCCAGGTTATTGTACAAAGCTGCAACAGGTACATGCTTAGGTCCGAGCTGTTTCAGACAAATGTCCAGTGCACGTGCAAGGTTGTCCTTTGCTTGCTGGAAATCACCTAAATAACTGTACATAGTAACCAAGTTATTGTAAGAAGCTGCGCTACTTAAACGCTCAGCTCCGAGCTGTTGCAGACGAGTGTCCAGTGCACGTGCATGGTTGTCTTTTGCTTGCTGGAAGTCACTTAGATCACTTTTTATAGTACCCAACTTACTGTAAGGAGCTGCGAAATTCAAATGCTCAGGTCAAGGCTGTTTCAGACGAATGTCCAGTGCACGTGTATGGTTGTCCTTTGCTTGCTGAAAATCACCTAGATCACTGTGTACAGTACCAAGGTTATGGTAAGAAGCTTCGACATTTGCATGATTGGGTCCGAGCTGTTTCAGACAAATGTCCAGTGCACGTGCATAGTTGTCCTTTGCATGCTGGAAATCACCAAGACTTCTGTATACAGTACCCAGGTTGTTGTAAGAGGCTGCGACATCTACATACTCAAGTCCGAGCTGTTTCAGACGAATTTCTAGTGCACTCGCATGGTTGACCTTTGCTTGCTGCAAATCACCTAGACCTCTGTGTGCATTACCCAGGTTATTGTAAGAAGCTGCGACATCTTCATGCTCCAGTCCAAGATGTTTCAGACAAATGTTCAGTGCACGTGCATGGTTGTCCTTTGCTTGCTGGAAATCATCTAGACCTCCGTATACAATACCCAGGTTATTGTAAGAAGCTGCGACATTTACATGCTCAGGTCCGAGCTGTTTCAGGCGAATGTCCAGTGCATGTGCATGGTTGTCCTTTGCTTTCTGGAAATCACCTAGACTTCTGTATACACTACCCAGGTTATTGTAAGAAGTTGCAACATTTACATGCTCAGGTCCGAGCTGTTTCAGACGAATGTCCAGTGCACGTACATAGTCCTCCTCTGCTTGCGGGAAATCACCTAGACTTCTGTAGACAGTACCCAGGTTGCTGTAAGAAGCTGCGACATCTACATGCTCAGATCCAAGCTGTTTCAGAAAAATGCCTAGTGCCAGTGCATGGTTGTCCTTAGCCTGCTGGAGATCGCCTAGATCTCTGTAGACAGTACCCAGGTTATCGTAAGAAGCTGCGACATATACATGTTCAGGTCCGAGCTGTTTTAGACGAATGTCTAGTGCACGTGCATAGTTATCTTTTGCTTTCGGGAGATCACCTAGACTTCTGTATACAGTACCCTGGTTATTGTAAGAAGCTGCGACTTCTACATGCTCAGGTCCAAGCTGTTTCAGACAAATGTACCGTGCACGTGTATGGCTGCCCTTTGCTTGCTGGAAATCACATAGATTATTGCATACAGTACCCAGGTTATTGTAAGAAGCTGCGACATTTACATGGTCAGGTCCAAGCTGTTTCAGACGAATTTCCATGGCACGTGCATGGTTGTCCTTTGCTCGGTGAAAATGACCTAGATTACAGTATACAGTACCCAGGTTATTGCAAGATGCTGCGACATTTATAGGGTTGGGTCCAAGCTGTTTCGAACGAATATTAAGTGCACGAACATGGTTGTCCTTTGTTTGTTGGAAGTCACTCAGACTTCTGTATGCATTACCCAGGTTATTGTAACAAGCTGCAACATTTACATGCTGTGGTCCAAGCTGTTTCGGACAAATGTCCAGTGCACGTGCATGGTTGTCCCTTGCTTGCTGGAAATCACCTAGATCACTGTATACAGTGCCCAGGTTATTGTGAGAAACTACATGCTTAGGTCGGAGCTGTTTCATATGAATTTCCAGTGCACGTGCATGGTTTTCCTCTGCTTGCTAGAAATCACCTAGACCTTTGTATACAGTACCCAGCTTATTGTAACAAGTTGCGACATCTACATGCTCTGATCCAAGCTGTTTCAGACAAATGTCCAGTGCACTTGCATGGTAATCCTTTGCTTTCTGGAAGTCCTCTATACTTCTATATACAGTACCCAGGTGATTGTAAGAAGCTGCGACATCTACATGGTCAGGTCCGAGCTGTTTCAGACGAATGTCCAGTGCACGTGCATAGTTGTCCTTTGCTTGCTTGAAGTCACCTAGATCAGTGTGAACAGCACCCAGTTTATTAAGAGAAGTTGCGACATCTGCATGTTCAGATCCGAGCTGCTTCAGACGAATGTCTAGAGCACGTGCATGGTTTTCCTTTGCTTGTTGGAAATCACTTAGATTACTATACACAGTACCCAGGCAATTGTAAGGAGCTGCGACATCGACATGTTCCGATCCGAGATGTTTCAGACGAATTTCCAGTGCACGTGCATGGTTGTCCTTTGCTTGCTTGAAATCACCTATATCACTGTATACAGTGCCCAGTTATTGTAAAAAGCTGCGACATTTACATTCTTAGGTCCGAGCTGTGTCAGACGAATTTCCAGTGCACGTGCATTGTTTTCCTCTGCGCGCTGGAAATCGCCTAGACCTCTGTATACAGCACCCAGGTTATTGTAACAAGTTGCGACATCTACATGCTCTGATCCAAGCTGTTTCAGACAAATGTCCAGTACACTTTCATGGTTATCCTTTGCTTGCTAGAAGTCACATAGATCAGTGTAGACAGCGATCAGGTTATTAAGAGAAATTACAACATCTGCATGTTCAGCTCCGAGCTGCTTCAGACGAATGTCTAGAGCACGTGCATGGTTTTCCTTTGCTCGCTGGAAATCACTTAGATTACAGTACACAGTACCCAGGCAATTGTAAGAAGCTGCGACATCTACATGTTCCGATCCGAGATTTTTCAGACGAATTTCCAGTACACGTGCATGGTTGTTCTTTGCTTGCTTGAAATCACTTAGATAACTATACATAGTACCCAAGTTATTGCAAGAAGCTGCGACGCTTAAATGCTCCAGTCCGAACTTTTTGAGACGAATGTCCAGTGCACGTGCAAAGTTGTCCTTTGCTTGCTGGAAATCTCCTAGATCACTATATACAGTACCCAGGTTATTGTAAGAAGCTGCAACATTTACATGCTCACGTCCGAGCTGTTTCAGACGAATGTCCAGTGCACGTGCATGGCTGTCCTTTGCTTGCTGGAAATCACCTTGATCACTGTATACAGTACCCAGGTTATTGTAAGATGCTGCGACATTTAAATGCTTGGGTCCGAGCTGTTTTAGACGAATTTCCAGTGCACGTGCATGGTTGTCCTCTGCTTGCTGGAAATCACCTAGACTTCTGTATACAATACCCAGGTTATTGTAAGAAGTTGCAACATCGACATGTTCAGGTCCGAGCTGTTTCAGACGAATGTCCATTGCACGTGCATGAATGTCCTTTGCTTCCTGAAAATTACCTAGACTTCTGTATACATTACCTAGGCTATTGTAAGATGCTGTGACATTTACATGGTCAGGTCCAAGCTGTTTCAGACGAATGTCTAGTGCTCGTGCATGGTTGTCTTGTGCTTGCTGGAAATCACCTCTATCACTGTGTACAGTTCCCAGATTATCGTAAGATGCTGCGACATCTACATGCTCAGGTCCCAGCTGTTTCAGACGAATGTTCAGTGCACTTGCATGGTTGTCCTTCGCTTGCTTGAAGTCTCCTAGACTTCTGTATACATTACCCAGGTTATTATAAGAAGCTGCGACATCTACGTGCTGAGGTCCGAGCTGTTTCAAGCGAATGTCCAGTGCACGTTCATGGTTGTCTTTTGCTTGCTGGAAATCATCTAGACTAGATGCCTAGGTTATTGTAAGAGGCTGCACATCTACATGGTAAGGTCCGAGCTGTTTCATCTAAATGCTCAGGTTCGAGATGTTTCAGACGAATTTCAGCGTATACAGTGCACGGTTATTATGGTTGGCCTTTGCTTGCTTTCGAAGTTTCAGACGAATTTCCAGTGCCTGCATGGTCACTGTGCTTGAAGTCACCTAGGTCACTGTACGCAGTACCCAGGCAATTGTAAGAAGTTGCCACATCGACATGCTCAGGTCTGAGATGTTTCAGACGAATGTCCAGTGCACGTGCATGGTTGTCCTCTGCTTGCTTGAAGTCACCTTGATCACTGTACACAGTACCCAGGCAATTGTAAGAAGCTGCAACATCTACATGCTTAGGTCCAAGCTGTTTCAGAAGAATATCCAGAGCACTTGCATGGCTGTCCTTTGCTTTCTGGAAATCATCTAGACTTCTGTATACATTACCCGAGTAATTGTAAGAAGCTGCAACATCTACATGCTCAGGTCCAAGCTGTTTCAGACGAATGTCCAGTGCACGTGAATACTTGTCCTTTGCTTGCTGGAAATCTCTAAGACCTCTATGTACAGTACCCAGGTTATTGTAAAATGCTGCAATGGTCAGGTCCGTGCTGTATCTGAAGAATATTCAATGCAAGCGCATGATTGTCCTTTGCTTGCTGGAAATCTCCCAGACTACTGTATACAGTACCCAGGTTATTGTAAGAAGCTGCGACATCTACATGCTCAGGTCCTAGCTGTGTCAGAAAAATATCCAATGCACTAGTATAGTAGTTCTTCGCTTGGTCTAAGTTACCCTTACATTTGTGTGTGATTCCCACAAAGAGGTCGATTTCTGCTTTTCCTACAGCGTCGTTTGCGTTACCTGAGTGTAAAATTTCCAAGGCTACTTCGGAGCAGTTCTTTGCAGCTTCGTATTCAAAATGGTCGAGGCACATTTTCCGAGGATCTGGAGGCCCTTCAGACAACCTTGTGAGGGCATATCACCCACTTTTCTGACTTGAGGTAAGTCTTGTTCAGAAAACAGATATTTAGCCCTCAGGATCAGTTTTCTTAGGTGGGGAACAAGTCTTGAGCCGATGGCAAAGGTATCTAAGTCATCGAACTTGGCGAATGATGCAACAGCCCCTACGACAGATTTAATGTATAATTCCTTGGCATAATTTGTTTTTAAAGAATCAAGTACATCACGAACGACTCCATGCACTCGGATACAGACGCTGTCACCTTCTTCTTCAGATAATAACAATGAACATCGATTTATCTTTGATCTGATCCACCCTTTATCAGTAAATTCTTCATCTATTTCCATGATGTAATTGACAGCGACATCTTGGGGTATTGGCTGAGGTGAACAAAGAACAAGAAAGGTGAACAGGTGATTAATAACTCTGTTGGTCGCCATTGCTTCTTTCACTGCAAGGGTTATTGCTGTTGTCATGGAATTCTGATATCTTGGATTGGTCTCTGCAAGGATGGTCTCTGTCGTACTTTGTTGACCACCTGCAACTTTCTCCAGATAGTCACCCCAGCCAAAGCTAACAGATACTTTACTCTGCCGGACTTCTCGCACATAAATGGAGACACTCGCTAAGGCAAGAGGTTGATATTCTAATGTCCGTGCAACTTCATTTTCCATTTCACCATCACTCACTTCTGAGAGGAATGTTAACAATGAGCGGGCATGATCTGGATGCATTCCTTTGCTGATTGAGACATGCTGGATTGCAGAATTTGTCAAAGGGATAGAAACAGCGTGTTGTGTTGTTAGCAGCAACTGGCCTCTTACCCATAGTTCGTCTCTTGCATCTGGTAAGTGTCCATGTATTTGAGACACAATGATGACGTTATCGACCACCAGCAGCCATGAGGTATAGTTAGAAATTCTCGCACTTATCAGCTTCCTAAGTCTTGTAATCTTTTCGTCTGCACATAGGTCTGTGAAGTTGAGAGTGTTTGTAACTGCATACTCTGGACATTTACAGTTTCGAGCGAAAAGGATATAGGATTCCAAAAGTGTTTCTGAATTTTCAGCATTCAAAGTCATAACAAATGAAGTCAAAAAAGGAATTTCTTTGACTTCGTTGTAAAATCACTTGGCTACCAAATGGGCAAGCTGCGATTTTCCACTTCCTGGATTTCCAGATATATACAAGGTGCTTAAAGCATCATCATTAGCACATTTAAGCGCTCTAAGCTCCTGGGTAATTTCACTAACCTCAGAATCGCGGCCGGTAACCTCGTGTGTGGGTTTTGAGGGAAGAACACAAAATGGAGACACACTTGTAAGAAGCTGCTGCTCAAGGACCTGTCGCTGCTCCTCTATTTCTAGCAGCTCCTTACCCCTCTCGAGAAGTTAATTATCTTTTTCTTTCATTTTCTTTTCCTTCTCTCGAACGTTTTGATCAAGGTCGTCAACTGTCTTCAAGATATTTGACAATTCTTCAGTTGGGAAACTAATTTGAATTTGGATGTCGTGGATTTTCTGTATGGGAAGACCGAGAGCAAGAAATGCATTTGTAATTTTAAAAATCACACTTTGAAAATCATTTTCCGATAGGTGTCCTCGTGGCATATGCACATAGTCTTTATTACACAGTCTCCTTAGGTCCTCCACCTGTGATTGGACCGTTGGATTCAGGCCATTGATGCAGCCTGAATAAAGAATTGCGTAAATCAGCATGGTGCAATCCCATTCAGCTGTGTCACCGTCTTTCATGGTTCTCAGCAGACGGGCGTATTGGCTTCTGTTTCGAGAGGCTTCGCCATTCCAAAAGTCCAGTCCATTGTAAGGTTGATCTTTCCATTCTCCCCATGTTCTTCGGTAGGGATTGTCCCATTCTTTTTTAAAGATTATTTGCTAGCACTCTGTTAGTACTTTGGTGAAAACATAGCAAATTCTGTAGTAGTTTAATTGCTCTGCAGAGTATTCCAGCGCAGTGGCCATTTTCAGTCAGATTCTATAAAAAAAAATCACAATTATGTCCATTGTTAGCTCATTCTTCTAGTCATTACAAGTCTGTTTCGCAGCCATTCTTGAGAATGTCACATAACACACCAAAAAACATCATCTTTTTTATGGAGGGTGTGATAGCCTAAAAGAACCGCTGTGAAGATCATTAACTTATAGATGTTGCCAAGCATAAAAGCGGAGGTCTTGTTGATTTATTTTATACCCCCTTATTATAGTAAAAGCTGCAATAAAACTCTTCAGCACTGGCTGTAGAAGAGTTTCCTTAAGGGGATTTAGGGACCAGTCCAGGGAGTGGAGAAAGAAGGGAAGAATTGACGAGGTCTGAAACCTGGGGACAACGTTCTCACAACTTGCAAAACAATCAACACACATGCTAGTCTGCAGTATCTTCAAGCAGCTGTAGCGAAGGACCGTCCTTGTTGTTCCTGATGTTTTGAGAAAATTTTCGAGGTAGGGAATCTTTTCTTCTTCAGATATGAAGTGTACGATGTCAGTATCAGTTGGAATTATATTCTTTTGAGCGTGACTGATAATTTTGGCTGAAGAAAATGAGTCAACATTGAAAGAAAAGACGGTAAACTACTTTGCGTCGGGACATCATTGGTCGATTGAAGAGAATACATGTGAGAACAGTGAATTAGTAAATCAAGACGCCAGAATCGTATGGGCTTCCCTTATATCTTCTCTTGAAGTTCTCAGGTATGGCTGCTTGCCCAACCGTTTTTCCCCAATGTTTCAATCTCCTCTGTTTAGCGTAAAAATTAAAAAGAAAAGTAATTTTTAACTCCTGTTTGAACTTGCACTTTTTTTTAAACTTTTTTCTTTCGGCTATTATTGCGTCATGGTCGTCCTCTGGCTGGAAATACACGGCGTCTTTTTGAGATTTTTTGATATTGCTATTGGCAATATTAAATGGGTTGAAAAGTTTTAGATGGTATTTTCTCATGTTTGCAAATAATTGAATTTACTGGAAGGTAGAGTCGTTGCAGCATGTTAACATGCAACACAAAAATACATTTGATATGTAAAAAGGCTTCATTTGACTATCTACTGGTAAGTCTTTGTACTATATTTCGACACCATTTTCCACAAGTTGTAAAAACCATGACATAATAATTAGTCAGGAAAATGTAAAATTTGTGGCAATTATACATCATGTTTTAAAAGCCATGTCCATAATAAGCTAACAGGATTGAAGAGGGTGTATGTGGGAATAGACTCTCTCGTCTGCATGTATCATTAACTTGCTTGCCTGTTGCCAATGTTTTGACGAACCGAGTGCTTAAGTAGGCAGTGACTTTTTTCAAACCTGGAAACTATCATTGTGGAAGTCATACTTGTGCCTGGAAACTCATTCTTATTCTGATTTACTAGTTTTAAGAAGGATACAAAATTTTATGAGAAAAATTTGATGCATAGGCTGTGCACAAAACTTTAATTTGCCATAATTTTATAGCTAATACCAATCCCTACACATAATAGAATGTTATCAGGATTAGATGGAAAAAATATTGTGCTATGCGAGATTTCAGGTAATCATTTTAGTTACATGAATATTAACGGATACTAGGAAACCTATAAATATTCCAGAGAATGTAAAATTTGTTTGAAAATTAGTACTTAGCATAGGCCAAATAAACAAAAAAAGAAAATGAAGAAGAAATGTGTACTGATGAAAAAGCTAAGCAACCTTTTTACAACACCTGCCTGTTCCCGCATGGCACCTAGTAAAGTAATTTGAAGTAGTCATAATCCCGGTTTTACATGTTGAAAACATACACGCATGCAGATTTCTTATAAACCTGTAGTTTAAGCCTGCCATAACTTCAAAGTTTCGATGCACACCTTAAAAGGAGAAGAAATAAATTTCAAGTTTATTTTTATTCAGTTTAGGTCAGTGAGTTAAAATTGAGTCAAACATTCATTCAACAACAGGTCAACAAATTTTCACAACTAATTTATACGGTTTAAGCCTACCTGGAACAATCAATTTCATGTACATATAAGACTAGGTGTGTACTGATGATGCACAAAAGAACTATCTGTGGTAAGAGCGCAGGCTTTCCTTTCTTCATTTAAAAAGGTACTGAGGTTATCACCTAATTAAAAGCGGGATCCTTGCTTTTCCAGTTTTCCACCTGTTAAAACTCACATATCTTGTGACCAATTATTTATGTCAATGGGTATGAGCATTGGTAAGAAACACCATGCATTAATGAAAGCTTAAGCAAGAGTATTTAATGTAATCCAAATGATAATATTACATGATACAACGTGGCAACTTACACAGCAAAATTATAATCACACAATTCCAAACAAAGGATGTCAGGTTATTGTCTCATCTGCTTCAACTTTTGAGGGCTTAAGGTACAGAGAAATAGATATGGTAGACATTTACAATCAAAAAAAAAGTTGAAAGTTTGAAAATTAAGAGAGATACATTACAATCATCAAATCCTATCCATACCATACCCTATCCAAGGATAAATTACCATTTTAACTTCTCCCAAAATTTCATACTTACAGGAAATCACTAATTTCTTTGTCACTAGGTGGTACTTTACTTACAATAGTTCTACGGAAACAAATGCATTTTTCGAAAGTCATCTCATAACTTATGACTGTGCAGGTTATGTGGGAGTTTCCTGTATGGGGACCGACATTTCAATTACTTCAGAAAACTGTAATCATCAGAATTGCAAGCCAAGGTGTATTTACCAAGCGCTCAAGTTTCCAAATTGTTACAGTCGAGTTCACTTCTTTTTGAGGCCATCTTTAGCTTGATCATCCTGTTTTATGTAAAAACATGAAATGTTACTCACATATTCAAATAATTGCCTGAATAAAAAGTTATATATTATTTTAATAACCTGCTTCCTTTAACCCTTAAATCCCTGAGAATTACTAGCATCTAATTTCTCCTTTCAATATCACCCCTGAATCAAACATTAAGGTTATGAAAATAAAGGAAAGAGTAAGAAAGTGAAGAACCTCTTGATGGTTAAACAAATTCTTCTTGCCAGCTCATTAGGAAATGTATAGAGAACAGTAAGGAGAATATACATACTGATGTTGGGGTGTAAAGGGTTAATAGTGTTCCAGAACTAGTAAATAGTATTGAAGAGAAAGGAAGAAAGTTCTTGAAACATTCTATGTTAAATGAAACTTTATTATGAATTTTAATTACGACAGCAACGAAAACATCTGGGAAGCTACAGTAACAATTACCTTTCCATGTAAACAAAGCATAAAGAAGCATGATATGAATAAATTCGATCTCACCCAGTTTGAATACAGAATCAGAAATCTTGTTACCTTACAAGTGGGGAAAAGCTCAAAGTGTTTTTCCTGCCGTTGTCATTCTAAATATCGCAAATTAATCACGCCACCAATTCAGTGTCAGTTTTTTGAAGATTTGCTCTTTTTCTTACGGTCATCTATTTTTAGTATCTATCTTTTACCAGTTGACATCTGAGAAGAATCAAGTCCATGGTGGTGATTTGGCACATTGTAAGCAAACCTTACAACTGATTGAATTTTATGTGATAAAAAACATGAAGGGCAATAAAGGAAATTGGCCAGCACAATTCACGTTTCCCCTCTTAAGTATTTTGTGATCGTTTCTTCCATCATATAGTAAAGTTTACAGTTTCTCTCATTTCATTGTCTTCTATTGATCTGTTTGCTTTCTAAAAATCTCAACAACTGTCCCAATAAATGTAAGGACCATATAAAATGTGTACAGTTATTAAAGACATCATTTAATCAGTTTTATAAATGTAGAGTATTGCTTGAGTATGTGATTACAGTAAGTGCAAGTGCCTAATAAACATCACTCTATGGTCTTCTACTCTTCCACCTCGGAGGGTGCCTTGTGTACATAAAAAATGAAGTTCAGTGCATTTAGTAGCTTTAAATTTTGGCTACAAAGATCAACAACGAACAACAACCACACCGAAAAATCTTTTTAGAGAGACCTCTGTAATAGTAGGTACTCACAACTGACATCGGAGTGAAGCAAACAGCTTCTTTCTAGAAGCTTTTAAAACTTCTGTATTTTAGCTTTCAAAGAA